ATATCTATAGAATGGCCAAAGCACTTAAAGATGGGCTTAATTTTAAGCATACAAGTAATCCCATTCTGATTCTGCAAAGTCATAGAATCATAGGAATGGAAAGGACCTCGAGAGGTCATCTAGTCCAGTCCCCTGCACTCATGGCAGGACTAAGTATTATCTAGACCATACCTGACAGGTGTTTGTCTAACCTGCTCTTAAAAATCCCCAATGATGGAGATTCCACAACCTCCCTAGGCAATTTATTCCAGTGCTTAACCACCCCGACAGTTAGGAAGTTTTTCCTAATGTCCAACCTTGCTGCAATTTAAGCCCATTGCTTCTTGTCCTATCCTCAGCAGTTAAGAAGAACAATTTTTCTCCTTCCTCCTTGTCACAACCTTTTATGTACTTGAAAACTGTTATGTCCCCTCTCGGTCATCTCTTCTCCAGACTAAAGTCCTTAGCATCTGCTTAACTTAAGCACATAAGCAGTCCCAAAGAAGTGCTTAAAGTTAAGCAGCTGCTAAGTGCTTTGCTGGTTTTATACCTAAAAATGTTTGCAGGATTTGGGGTAAAATGTATTACATACCCCTCTAGGTGCTGAAGCCAAGAAGACTCTACATAAATGGAAAGGGAAAATTAATTCCATTTATACCTCAACCTTAATTTTGAAGGCAGTTGCTATGCGACATCTGGTGTAATATTCCCTCTTGGAACTGAGTACAAAAACAAGAGCAGAGGCTTAGCTGATTTGTCCAGTATCCTAGACCTTTTTTTATTATTATTATTCTTTTGTATCCACATAAATTACACAAGCACTTTATAAAATGAATACACATGAAACACCTTAGAAGTGCATAACTTAAAACAAACAAACAAACAGATGAATGCCTTTAAAAAACTCACTGAAAATATTTTTGATTGATTGTTTGTACCAGCTGCTTAAATTGGCAGTGCTGTTTTAGATTACAAGTAACTGAAAAATATATACTGTGTATATATATCTATATATATATTCCTGGAGTTTGCTATAAGAAGTGCTTGACTTAAGCATGTCTCCTTCCCTCAATACAATTAAAGAAATGAGTTAAACAGTTGAAAGTGAAAGATTTTCCCCCCAACGTAAGTTGACTTCTAGAGCAAAAAAAGTAAAAGAAAATATTGAACAACATTTGTAAATAATACCGAAATAATCCACTGAATGAAACTGCATTGTCTCTGCAGAATGCCACAGATGTCTCAAGAGTTATTAAAATATAAGTTGATCAACGCAGAGTCTGTGGTATCCAGGGAAACAGTTTGGAATCTTCATACAATTATTTGCAATTTGGTGTTTACTATCTTGAAAGGTCTGTCAGTTTCCTCTCTTATTCCCCCACTGGAAAAATATAATAATTAAAAGGAGGAAGAGACATTCCTAGGTGAAATCCAAGGAATTCACTTCCTCTGCAAGTGGAAATCACCAGGCGAAAGAATAAAGCTGGGCTGTGTTGTCCATTTGTTGAATCCAGTCTGTGCTTTTCTTTTGCACCAATGACTCAGGCGGCGGCAAGGGGGTTTGTTAAAGAAACGTCAAAGCTCCATTCCAAGGAAGGGAGAACTATTTAATTTTAAATGACCAGTCTAAAAAATGTATACGAAGAAACCAAAGGCCTGCACTGGCTGTGGACAGAATCCAGGGAAGATTTCCTCCATGGATTCTGAAAGGATGACATGGGGCTAACATATTTTCATTTTCTGGGACTAATTAAGGGAGCTCCTCATTGTTCATTGTCCGGTAATGGAGACTTCCGAAAGACAAAAAGGGAAATGCCTCTTTTATCTGAATAATCCTGCAGGTGATTGGAAGCTTCTCTTTTTTTTTCCCCTCCCCTCCCCTTCTTCCCGCCAAGAGGATATTTGCTGACTCAGCACATTGGAAGTGTGGGGCTCTTGGGTGACAGCGTGTGGGGGTAGTTTCCTGTTGGGAAGAAGGATACTTCGCTCTGTGCTGGAGCTTGGGTGGCTCGTAACGCAGTGTGTGTGTGTGGGGGGGGGGGACCACTGGGTCGTGGGCTCTATTCACAAGCAGAGGCGACGGAGGTGACGCTGGTGATCTTGGACGAGTCATCGGACCAAGGCTGGAGGTTCTGGAGGGCGAAGAGGGAAGAGTTGTGGACACAGATGGGGTCTGCCTGGAGGGGCTGATTGATGCTTTTCTGGAAGGCCTCCTGCTGGAGCTGCATGAGGATACGGTTGGCTTGCTGTCTCTCGGCCTCCCTCTCCTCTGCAGTTTGTCGCCTGGGAGAAAACAATAATCATGAATGATTTATATCATGGTAGAGCTGCCCTGCCATGGTCAAGGCCTCACCGTGCCGGGCGCTGTACAGACATACAGTGAGGGACTCGTGGAAGGCCACAAAGCAGGGAATAGTACGCGTGTCTCCTGAGTCCCAGCCCAGGGCACTAGCCACTGGACCACACTGTCTTTCCATTACCCTCCTTAAGAAAAGGGAAAGTACCAAGCAAAATCCAAAGCTTCCTCTGTGGCCATGGGTGCAGGACATGTTCTGATCAAGGAAGCTATGAACTGTCCATAGGAGCAGAGAAGACCGAGGTGGAAGAGACCTAAATAAGTTAAATCTACCCCTCCCCCCAACCCATCCCCCTGGCCAATGCAGGATTGTTCCCAGTTCTCCAGGACTGTGCCCAGCCTACTGCAAATGACTGCAGCCAGGGCCCTTGGGAAATTATTCCCGAGAGGTCCCAAGGAAAAGCAGACTTCCTTCACTCGCCCAGTGTCTGAGCTCCATTGGCAACAGCTTTGAGGGAAATGACCAATTCCTTTGGTCTCCGGGGAGATCCCTTTTAGCACAGCACTCCCCCCAGCACGCACACACACACACAGCCCCTTGCCTGGGTGCCCAGTTAGGCCCCTTGAAATAACTTTGGCCAAAACCTGAGCTCCTTTCCTTTCTCAGGCAAAACCCCATTCACTTCAGCAGGTGAGGATCTCAGGATAGAACCGTGCAGAAAGTTCTGTTCCATCCCTCCAGTTGTATACACTGCAGAGAGTGGAACACCAGGGTTGGTCTGATCTCTCCTGGAAACCATGTGGCCTACTGTGGATCTCAGGTTACAGTGTCTGTGGATGGGCTCAACTCACTATCCTTCCAGTTACTTTTCATTATGTTCCCCCCAGGGCTAGCCAGACAGAGAAAATCAAGCAGGACAGCTGGAAGTTCACTGGGTCAAATGGAAACCAGGACTAGTCGGTCCTCACCCCATTGTGCAGCTTGGTTCCATGGCACTGTCTCCCCCCTTTGGAGTATCTGGCGTGGAAAGGACTATATATATATGAATGAATCAAAGGCCCCGGGAAAACATGTACCACCCAGCTTAAGTTTTCCTGGTATATTAGGCCTTTGTGTTTTCCATATGAGGTCCAGAATGGCTCCCTTTGGGGGCTATCCGGGTATGAAAAGCAGAGGCATTTCGTCTGCCTATCCACCCTGTGTCAGAAATCAGCCAACAACAATTCCTTCCCTCTCTGCTATTTCTCTGCTTCAGCTGGTGGTAATTACCAGATTTGTGGCCTTATCTGTCATTTTTCTGGCTCTGTACTGATCCTTCACACTTTGTAATGCATTGTTTTAAAATCAATTTATAATGAAACTACTGTTTGTTTGGGTTTTCTTTTGCTATTGATTCCCGGAAAGGTTTCAGTTCATAACCCATTAGAGTTGGAAAAAAAAATAAGTTGCTGGGTTATCTGTGGGAAATTGGAGTCCTGCCGGCGGTAGAAAGTTCAGGGACTCCAAGCAGATTCTCAGCTCAAATACAGTGGAATGTTATTGACAAGAGTCACTGCATGTATATTTCACATCTACAAAGAGCATGAAATATACATTTTTTATCTGATCTCCTCTGTTTCCCCCCTGACCCACGCTGCTTAATTCATCCGGCATTATTTATTATGTAGCTGAGTCAATGTGTTATTTCATTCGGGAAAAGCAGTTCTGAGGCACGGTTTTTATTAAAGACACGGTGCAAAATAAGTTTGGCTGGCACTAATTTCTTGACAACTGTCAGGTCATAGCTTCATGGGATCCGAGACAGCCCTGTAACCTTCTTCTCTGACTTCAAAACAACCACCACCACCAATACCTGCCGTGTTAAAACAGGACAAAATTCAAAGTATGCAGCCAATTATTTTCTGAATAAGAGGCCAGGAAAGAATTGCATAAATAATATACGAGTTTTCCTTCCACAGCAAATTTACTCTTGATGCATATTTAATACTGTTTTGACTTCATCGAGAAATGTAACGCAGCCGCCTTTATAATTAGTGGTAACAGATTATTAATTTCACACTGGGACATTATTCTCAGTTAACACAGTTCGCAGCAAAAAAAAAAAAAAAAACCCAAAAAAATCATTTTTCAAACCCAGAGAGAAATAAATACCGCACGGTGTAGAAACGCCAGGATCCAGGCAATTTATTTAAATATTGCAACGGAAGGGCAACATATTAGTAATAATCATTTACTACAGCCCATTGCCTTAATTGCAAATATGTAAATTATGGAAGACCTCCCCCCCAGCAGGAATATGAAGTGTCTCGCCAGGGGCCCTGTCCTACCCTGCTCCGATGGGAGATTTTCAGGGCGATCAGGATCAGCACCTAACGCAGTAAAGGACACGGGTGCGATCATATGGGATTTTTACCCGTGTGAGGCTTTAAGGCTCGGACCCTATATCACTGCAGGCCCCGATCCAGCTCCCCTTCTACTCACCGAGCGCTTTCCCCGTTGATTGCAATGGCTCAGGATTGAACGTGACCGAACGGGATTCGGTGACAGTGATTTGTTCCCTGTTATGTCGATCTCATTCCCCTACAGTAACAGCCCCTTCCCCGCGCTGCCAGACCCCACCGCTCAAGGACTGGCCCTGACTCCACAGTTCGCGTCACGGTCCCCAGCCGGAGGCTCTGGGGTTACCTGGTGTATGCAACAACTGTCCGGGTACATACAACTCCGGCGATTGTCCCCTTTCGGATTCCCACTCCTATTAAATAGCTTCCCATTGTAGAACTCGTAGACTTGCCGTTACTTGTGTTTTATATGTATTTTGGTTGCTTCACAGGATCAGAGAATGTGAGTCTATATTTAACTTTTTTTATCATTCTTTTCTGTTTCCCTTCTGGGGCCGCAAAAACTGTTCCCTAGCAGTTGTGCGGTGAATACACCACTCTCCAGCGGCATGGTTGGGTAAGAGAGATTGAAAGCTATCCCATCGTCTCCCAATTCCAATCCTAACTCCTGGAGCTGACAACATACAATAATTGACTTTAGACTCCCGGAGCTCGGAACACGGGAGGAGTTATTTCATACTCGATGCGCTTTCATTAAACCTCGTGTATTTATTGAAACATCTGTCTTCCAATTCCTTTCGGCACATCCTAGCAAAAGCGGTTGTGTACAATTCTCGCGCTAAACATTATATATAATCTCCTCTATTTGTCTATTTTTACCCGAAAACTCACCTCTATCTGTCTGTGGCATTTTCCCCATTAGTGCGAGCAGAAATCTGACTTATAGCAAGGAAGGGAAAATGGATTTTTAACCGCGTAGCGTTACTGTGCATGAAGGATTTTTAAAAGCAAATTGAGATCAACCTATTTTAAACAAGAGCTGATCGCTTGTGGATTATAAATAGCGTTGTGCAATGTATACAAGATGATTTTTAAAAAAACCCAAGCAGACAGTATATTTTGTTTTGCGGAGGACTTGAGGATGTAACCCTCTAGTCCTTTAAAAATCAAGTCAATAATACTTCAGAACTCCACATTAGAGATTTCAAACCATTATCTACAAAATCTTCCTTTTTAACAATGGTTGTCACACCCTTTCTTGGCTGGTACTGTACGTTGGAGGGTAAGTAAAGAAAACAAGACGGGTTTCATTTCTTAAATGGCCTTTGTGTAACTACAAAACCCCAATGGGATTTGTTCAAAGTTAACTCCCCTCGCTTTTAGCATATCCAGTCCCTTCAAAGACTTCCAAGTCTACCCCCAGTTCATTTCCCCAGCACTTCCAGCACTGCTGGGGCTTTTCAAATAAACATCAACTCATATTGCTGTCTTTTTAGGGCACGGTACTGAAATCCACAATCCCTTATTACTAATCTAAATGTTCTGGTTGCTGGTGTGAAAATGAATAGCTCAATTCATACCCTCATGACACATGGGGAATGGCTCATGGCAACATCCACTCCCTTTAGTCCCTGACGTGAGACAATTCTATTCTATTGCCACGTGGCCCAGGACATTCTCCTTATGCCCCTTTACGCGAGCCGAATTAATTCATAAAACGCTACATTTACAACCACATAGACATGTAGGTACACACAGGCGCTTTTCGATCCGTACAAATAGTCACAACAGGAAAAATAAAACAGAACAAACACCCTCAAAGGCCATAGAGTCAAAATGACATGCTAGATTTCGTACAGTTCCTTCTCCTCCGAAGTGTTTACAACTCCCCCAAATACACCCCAAAGATGCCTTTTCACAGTAAAAATTGCCTCCCCATTGGGTAGCCTCATTTTTTAAAAATGAAACATAATTTCATTCGGGTTTTTCTCCTCCGGAAATGGTTTTCCATTATTATTGGCCCGTATTGTTCCCTGTATAAAACTACCCAGGGCAGTTTTAAGCCAGTTGGAAGACAAGGGTTACCCTGAGACAGACTCGGGGGAAGATCATTAGCTGGTGTAAATTGCCTTAGCTCTGGGGGGAGTAGAGAGAGTCGATCAGAAATCCACTCCCAAACAGTTGCATTGATTGTTGATAGGCCATGAATATATATATGAAGGGGGCCTATTTTTCTCACAGGTCAGATGGACAGAACTGCTGGTGTTTGGGGACACCCGTCTCCTGCGTTTAATACCATCTGTACTTTTTAAAGCACTAAACCCAAAGGATCCCTCCAAAGAGAGAGAAAAAACTGGTGTCGGAAACACCTCCCTGAACCAAAATCAACAAGGAGTCCTTGTGGCACCTTAGAGACAATCAAATTTAAGCTTATGCCCAAACAAATGTGTTAGTCTCTAAGGTGCCACGAGGTCTCCTAGTTGTTTTTGCTGATACAGACTAACGCGGCTGCCCCTCTGAAATCTTCCTGAACCAAGTTTCTCCACTTGTCCGGATCCCAACGGAGTCACCCGTTCTGTGTCCTGCATCTCCACTCCACTTCACTTCTGCTACAGCACGTGGCCAGGTCACTGATCCGGAGTGATCAGCGCTGACCAGCTCACCCAAGGGTAGACACCTCTCTCGGGCTGTGGGGTTTGAACGGACATCTCCGTGTGTGTGTCCCTCCCATCGGCGCTCATTTCAACCGAACCAATGCCTCGGGCGACCACAAAACTCCCCCTCCCTCGGGCTAAGCCCCCGACTTTGCTGAACACAGCGGTGTCCCCTGTGCAATGCAGCCGGTCCGAGTGCCCAGAACCCCAGGCTCGGATTATTTTCACATTCAAACGGGCCTGGCAGTTTCTTCCAACGGGACAAAAGCTCCGATTCTGAAACCATTTAAAGGGCAGCGGCCTGCGAGGAGAGACCCAACCCCACACCCCGAGGGGGCAAACCTCTGTCACCCACACACAGATCAACACCCGGGGAATAGCCCCGAGTTGTGCCTGCGCGGTAATAACCACACCGACGCGCAATAACACAACGCACACCAGACAATGCACAGAGAGGCACGTCCTAAAGGAAGCAAACCCCAGACACTGGGCAAAGACAATAGACACAATCTCACACCAGACCAAATACCCCCCCATCAGACAAAGAGCGCGCGCACACACACACACACACACCCCAGAGGAGGGTGTTGCTTCTCACCTCCATTTTGTCCTCCTGTTCTGGAACCAGGTCTTCACCTGGGCATCTGTCATCTTGAGGGCCTTGGCCAGGGCGGCCCGCTCGGCCGAGGCCAGGTACTTCTGCCGGTGGAACCGCTTCTCCAGCTCGCAGATCTGCAGCCGGGTGAAAGACGTCCGGGGTTTCTTTTTCTTGGGCGGCGTCCGGTTCTGGTAGGGGTGACCTATACGGCGTGTTACAGTGAAGGGTGAGAGGGCCACTGGGGTGGGAGACGGGGCGAGGGGTGGGGGTGAGGGGGGCAAAGAAGCAAGCAGCAAAATATCAGGAGGGGTCCACAAGCCATAGCAGAGACAGACACACAGAGAGAAGGTGAGGCTAGTGGGCAGAGCCTGGCCTGGGGTGGGGGTGGGGGGTTACCAGGGCCCATGCTGCCCTGAGCTATAGCTGCTAATAGCATGCTGCAAAGCACCCCCCGCCCTAACCTTCCCCAGCAATAAACACCCTCTCTGCCAGGGCCTGATCAGACACAAACATCCCTCAGCCCAGAACCCTACCACGGCACACCCGGCTCTCACCCTGGGGCGGGGGGGTGTTAGTAATGCGCGGTGGGAAGATGCCTGGTGCTGCTAGAAGAGCCCAAACAGACCGGGAAAGGCCCCACCGGGGCGGGGGGTGGGTGAACAGTGATCAATTCGCTGCAGCACCCAGGGGTGCCCAGCCGGAGGTCGTTCAGGGGCACGGTTTGCCTGTCATCGCGACGGGGAGCGTGGGCAGTTTCTCAAACTAGGGAACTTGATTGACTCGGTCAGTCCAGAGGCTCAGAGAGCTGCCTTGGGAAGAAGTCGGTGTCAGACGCGTGTTTAAAATACAGCTCTGTGCGTTTGTTTATTTCATGTAAAGAGGAAAACTCCCCCCTCCCCCCGAGAAAGTTCCTGGATTGCTCTGAAAGTGACAAATCCGATTAATGGCATTAGCAACAGAAACACGGGCTACTGGGTTAAGAAAGCGAATGTGGGGGGGGGGGCGATTCTTTGTGGAATTAATCATCTCTCTGAAATTGACAGATTTCCACAACTCAGATTTGCTTTAGTCCATGGTGTATATATGAAGGTGATTTTTTGTCTGGTTTTTTTGTTTTGGTTTTTTAAATCCTTTTGGTCGCGCTGTTTAATCCAATTAATAAAGTATCTGCCATAACTGATCATCTATTTCCCCTGAATTAGGACTGACCGTACCCACAGAATTCTCTTTAAACATGAATATCCAACCTCGTCCCGATGTAAAATTAAGTTTACAATCTGATCCTGCACCAACTGCCACGGAGCACAAACGCGTGTTTACTTCCCCCCTTTCTCAGCCGCGGGAATCGCTGGAGTGGAGCGAAATCATTTCGATGGGAGGCTCATAAATGCAGAAACGGCTCCTGGAATTAGTTTTGCTGTTTATTAAATTGTAGCTGTGTTTATTAGTTGCGGAAAAACATTTCTAGGCCTGCACTGAAGTGAGGTACTAGGGTATCGCCCGTTCCACAGAGAAGATAGAAAAATACTATCATTAGAGCGATCTAAAATGTCTTCTGTCTACATATATTTCCGTCTACTTCTCGGCAGGGCCTCTTACCCCTCTCGCTCGCTGTTAGAACTAAGCTCCCGTTTTGACCGTCCCTTTCCGAGACAGCGCAGAGAAACGCACGCCCTACTCCCTGTTCCGGCACAAACATAATCAGGCTGGGACGTCATGGAAAAATACAGGCCCCTAAATCTTTCAGAGCACCTAGACTGTCCTGAAGCTAAACAGTACCTTCCTTCCACACAGCAGAGGAAACTCAGATGAGAGGGGAACATTTGCTGTAAATTTAAGGCAAAACGGCCTTTTGTGATAGTTGCCTAATTAGGATCTATCATGCATTTAACTCCCCCCCCCCCATTACTACTCATAGATCTGCGACATGGGTTAATATCTAGTGGCCAGGGCACATGGCAAAGAGTTATTCCAGTGCAAACGGTACAGTACACCCCAGATGGAATAACCTGTCCCCCGTTTCTAACAGTTAGACATTCTCCGTCTCGAATTGCTGAGTTTAATACTCAGCAGTAATAATAACTAATAATACTACGGGAGGGATTTTGTCTCTGGGAAGCCCTTGTGTGTAGCGTTTTTCCACTGACATTTCTAGGTGCAGTCATCTGTCTTTAACCAGCCTAATTCTCCACCTCTTGCAGTTATAGTTTATTATATCCCCCGGTACCCACTCAGGAAAAAGTTCCACTTGTGGCCAGGAGAGTTTGGCCCGTGTAATAGTAATGAAGGTAAAATATTCTGCAATTCTAAAGAGGCCTTTCACCCGAGGATCTCCAAGCGCTCTCGAAACAATGATTAAATTAAGCCTTATCCCCCCTGGGAGGTAGATAAAGACTTCATTCGTTTGTATTTTTAATTATATGAGTAAATTGGTATCAGATCAAAATTAGATTTAAAAATAATCCCTCCAGTGGATCACACTGGAAAGTATAAATTAACCAGGAGCTGCTTCAAAGGGGACGGATTGTTCCCATTTTACAATTTCTCTGCCGTTTCAACACACTCAGTTTGGTGGCGGATTCGCTGCCCAGTTCACAGCCGAACAGTCCTCCCGCCGCCCACTAGACACTGCTTTGGGTCTGGGGGGGGTAAACCACTGAATCCGAAAGTGAACCGAAGGAGCAGCCCTTAAATCTATTGCTCGGCCCTGCCGGTGGAAGCCGCGTTATTATATGATGCATTAGGCTCGCTTGGGAACTGCAAAAACACAGTTTCGCCGAGGAAATTGACATTGACCCGTAATCTTCACTGAAGAAAAACGAGGACAAAAACTTGTTAAAAATCATAGACACATGAACTTCCTTTTGGAGCCTCGACATCATTAAATGAGAGAACTCCAGTTCCCTCCTCTCGGGGCTTGCCTGTTATTAGAGCCCACAAATGAACTATCCTTCCCGCAATAATGTGCCTGCATTAAACCCTCAATTTAAAAACAAATCCGCGCGTAGCCTTCTCCTTCCATGCGAAGTTACGGATAAAAACAACCAAACAATCGATTCTTTCCCGACCGAACCACCCCCCCCTGAAAATCTGAGCCGGAACAAACTTTTGCAACTATTTTAGGGGCGAGTTTAAAGGAATTAAATGTCGCATCCATTGTTAATTTCCTGTTATTATTAGACCCTAACCGCTCTCTTAGTCAAATCCAATCTGTACTAATGACTGATTCATTTCTAAACCCCGCTTTCCCTTGGCTATCTTCGCACCCAATAGCCAAACTGCACTTGGGGAATGGTCCCAACCCCCCCGGTAATTAATACATAATCCCGTTCAGGCGGATTCACCACCGGGATCACGGATTGCGGGGCATCCTTTGATATTAGTATTTCTGTCCTCCTCGGCCTCATTACTGTCTGCCTCAGTGGCTGGCCCGGGACTAATTCTCTGTGCCCATTGCTCGGAACCTGCAGAGCGGGGCCGGGGTCTTGGTGACCACCCCGGAATCACTGGATCCCTCGGCCAATCCCGGCCGCTTGCAAAGGGCAGCGAGGGGAGGCCAGGGGACAGCTCTGTCGGTCGCGGCGGGGAGGGGACCTGCTGTCGCTCCCCAGGTGGGCCAGGCAGAGCGGTGGTGGGGACCCGACAGGCGCGGGCAGAGAGGCAGGCGAGCCGGGCTGCAGCGCGCTGGGAGCCGGGACGGGACTCACCTGTGAACCTGTCTTTCGTGTATCGCCTGTTGCTCTCCATCCAGGGGAAAGTGAGTCCCGTGAGGTTGTTCATGGTGTTCACCGAGGGCACGGTGGGCATCCCGGTGGAGAGGGGCTGGTGCCCCCCGCCAGCCAGCGGCCTGTGCGCCGGCACCCGGATCACGCCCCCCGCCGAGCTCAGGCTGTTCCCGTTCATGGCCACCCCCATGTTGACGTTGTAGGAGCCCGGCAGGGAAGCCATGCTGCAGGCGCCCGGGTAAGCCCCGGCCGAGCCGCCGTTCGCCCCGTAACTGCCCGTCATGGTGTTGTAGGCGCTGCTGACGATGCAGCTCAAGCCGTAGTCGGAGGAGTCTTGCAGCCGGGAGCCGGAGATCATGCAGCTGCCTTGGTCCGGGTTGTTGAGGATCTGGTCGATTCCAAAGCTGATGGGCTCGGCGTGGTTCTGGTGGAGGTGGTGAGCCCCTATATGATCCATGCTGCCGCTCCTAATCCCCCTACACAACAGAAAAGGTGGGGCCCCTGCTCCAGGCCGGGGCCGGATCAGGGAAGAGATTTACACCGCGTGCCGCTCCGGTTTCGCTTCGCTTCTCCCCAAAGCCTCCGAGGAGGCTGGAAGTGGGGGGAAAAGACGGGGTTGGAAAGAAGCGAGAGCGGAGATTTGGGAGAGAATGGGTGAGTGCGAGCGCGCGTCTGGACTCTGCCTCGGCTGCGAGGGCATCAATCATGTTACCAAAAGGCCTGGTGCTTCTAGGCCCTGGGTCTCCATTGGCTGGATCCTGAGAGCAGCTGAGTGAATGACAGTCAGGGAAGAGAGAGAGAGAGGAGAAAAGGAGTTTCGTTCAGAGCCCAAAAAACCCAGGCTAGCCAGAGCCTTATAAAGTCAAGTCACCCCAGCTAAGGCGCAAAGGAGGCAGCCTGCAACTGCCGGCCGTTTCTTTGTGCACTCGACTAGCTCACGTTTTCTCTAAGCATCCACAGACCCCCCCGCACCCCCCTCTGGTGTAGTTCTCGTCCCTCCCACCCAGCCCGGGGAGAGGGTCACGGACACGCGGGCCTTTCCGCCACCACGTGAAACAGCCGCAGGTATTTCGCTGCCATTGTGCAAAGCACCTCGTGCCCAGACAAAGAAGGTAAACGCTTAAACGGCGCTGGAGTTGCAATGGCTGGGCGAGAAGGGCCGGGGAGGGGGGGCTCCTTTCTTTTTCCAAAGTCTGAGGAGCGGAGGGGGCAGAAACATGTAAAACTGAGCTATCTCGTGCCTGGATCGCTGGCCCTGTAGACACCGGTCTCCAGTATTGTATTCGGTATTTAGATTTTCATATAGAAATCTGCTGTTGTTTGTAGAAATCTAAATACAGAACAAAATATTAGGCAGAAGACTTACAAAAGAGATAGATAGATAGATAGATAGATAGAGGGGGTGTATGAAGGATAGATAGATAGATAGATAGATAGATGGGGTGGATGGGGATGGATAGATAGATAGATAGATAGATAGATAGATAGATGCTGGGTGTGTATGGAGATAGATTTGTTCTTGGAAATCTACACACATAATACAATGTGAGAGCGGATGCACAGAGGATATATATAATAGCATGTGTCGTTTGTATAAATAGAAATAAATAATTCATATTATATGTGAAATGTTTATCTCGGGCACCCGCGATGTACTGTAGAAGTGACTCGCCTTTCCCTTCTGTAACTAAATTATCAATCCGATTATTTACACCCTAACCATTACCCCGGGACTCCCAGCTGGGACCCTGCGGAGTGAGGGGTAATAGAAAGATTTCATCCCACTGGATGCATGAAGATGGACCCCAAACCAATGCTCCCTTGATTTGAGTGAACCAGTCATATGTGCCAACCTCTGCGAATAACCCAAAGAAGAGGGGTACACAGCTAAACCCCACTGGGCTTGTGCTGACTATGGGGATCGCTTGAATGCTGCTTGTACAGAGACTGTAAGTGCCGCCACACGGGGAGGTGGGAGAGAGAGTTCTGAAGGCGACTTTTGGCAATTAAAAGCACGTGTGTAAGTAGTTCAAAGCGAGGCCCCTGTTTGGGTCGACCCAAACGCAAAGGTAGCTCCAGCGGGCTAAACTCACTGCAGCCAGCCAGAGGCGTCCGCCAGCGGTTCCCTGGGCATTTTTAAAGCCATTCTGTCCCCAGACTGCTCCCGACCTGCTGGCTGGCCAAGCTCAACAATCACCGACTTTCGTATGAGCCAGGAAAGGGGCCCAGGGTTTTTTTGCGTTTTCCGAAGCGCCTCTCTGCAGACGGCTAGTCCCGGGCCATCTGCCTCCTACCCCAGCGCCTGCTCATTGACAGCGATCTGCGTAAGGGGGTAATTGTAATGGGACTGGACGTGTTTGCCCACGGAGCGCGTGTTATTAACGTGGCCGTCCCAAGCCGGGGATCTCCGCCCTCGAAGGGATCCACCCTGGATCCCCTTTGGACACCAGCTGTCCCCTCTCAGCGGCTGGGATCTCCGCAGCTCGAGAGAAGGGTTTTCAGACCCTGGCTTCTCCCGGGGCCAGTTGTTGCTGTGAGTTGAGTCTTGTCCGTGAGACGGTCCCGCTTGGCCAAGGGACATTGAGTTTGCTTTTCCGGGCAGCAGATCTAATCAGCCTGGCTACAGACTCGCCCCTGGGCTCGGGATGTCTATTGGGTTGAAATGGCCAGCGCGTAAAGTGAGACCCTTTTGCGCCAAAGCCAGGTAAAACTACACGCAGCACCCCCCTCTCACAATGATTGTGTCTCTCGCCCACACAGAATTAGTCCCTCACACACACACCAGCGGACCGTTGCACCGAAACACAAACTCCAACACAACTTGTTTTCCCAAACAGAGAGAAGATCACGGGTAGGACAGCTTTACATCAGCTTCCAAATGGGACAGGAGCGGCCCTGCGCGTTAGGAACCTTAACAAAATTACCCCAATCAGTTCTGCGCCACCGCCAATTCATCAGAGACAGTAGGGCCTGATTGATGGATTGATTTTTGTAAAGTATAATTCACTACAGACGTTGAGATGCTTTCCTTTAATGGCACAGGCACAAACCTGCATTGTTCCTGACGCACAAACCTGCATTGTCCCTAACGCACACCCCATCCAAATACTCTTCCGCTTGGATGAGTAGGGAGGAAACTATTTGCAGTCAGAACTATTGGGCCCTGCTCTTAATCCCATTGCAGTCTATAGGAGTATTACCTTGGATGGTAAATCCTGACTCTCTCTCTGGTGTGTGTGTGTGTGTGTGTGTGTGTGTGTGTGTGTGTGTGTGTGT